CTTTCCAAGTTGTTATTTGAAGGCTATGTTTTAGCAAGGTAATACAGTAATATATCCGCTTTCTGTCTTACCATATTGCAGTTGCAAAAATTGCAATTCTTGTTTGCAGTTTTATGACAGAAAACCTCTCAGCTTTTAATAAATCTGGTTACATTTCAGAATGGTCTCCAAAGCTTGAAACATAGGTGTAAGGGTGACATCAGCACAGGGATGTAAATAAATAAATAACTAATCCCCAAACTGTTCTTGTGTGCATACTTCTTTCACTAATATTTACATTTTTTTAGCCCTGTAAATGTCTCGATTTCACACTGTAGCCTGGCAGACAGTGGTAGGAATAAGCCATAAAAGGATCTAATAACAGTTAATAAAATCTGAAACTTGGAAAAGCAAAACCCCTCTCATTTTCCTGGAGTCTAATCCGTCTCCTATTATGCTTAGTTGATGGTTATTCCAGATACAGCTTTATAAACTCTTGCAATTCATGAAAAGAAATTATTTAGCAGCAAAATTTACACTAAGGGTATCATTACCCGTGAGTTCAATTTTTCATTAAAGTTTAATTGTCAAATGTTGTTCTAAAGTAGCATACATCAAGTATTTCACAATGAAGTTGATTTAAGTACCAAAGTACGTGTCTGTTCTGTGCTTGTGTGTACACTTCTATTATACATATTTGTTGTACTGAAAACATGAGAATGCCTACTTTGAAATGAAATGTGTAAAAGAACAGTATAAGCTAGCACAAATACGTAGTCACGATTAATGCATTTTCTTGGCAGTGTCCCATTGTCGTGGTTTTACCCCAGCCGGCAGCTGAGCACCACTCAGGCGCTCGTTCACTCCCCCCCATTGGGATGGGGGAGGGAATTGGAAAAGTAAAAGTGAGAAAACTCGTGGGTTGAGATAAAGACAGTTTAATAGGTAAAGCAAAAACTGCACGCACAAGCAAAGCAAAGCAAGGAATTCATTCCCCACTTCCCATGGGCAGGCAGGTGTTCAGCCATCTCCAGGAAAGCAGGGCTCCGTCACGTGTAACGGTTACTTGGGAAGACAAACGCCATCGCTCCGAACGCCGCTGCCCCCCCCCCTCTTCCCCCAAGCTCCTTATAAACTGAGCATGACGTCATATAGTATGGAATAACCCTTTGGTCCGT